CAGATTTAGTGATCATCTGGATATGGAAACAAGTACTTCAGATTCATGTACAAGTTGAGAATCATTTGTATCACTAGAAATAAAGAGCAACATTATCAGTACACATAGGTGGCGTGGTATCTTACCCATTCATTCTGCACCAATGAATGAAGGACTCAAACATATACATTAAGTATATCCACATTATCAATGTGTTTGCATGCACACATGCACTCATGCATGCATGTCATATGTGTTTATTTGGAACCTTGACTCATCTATTTCACAGTGAATAAAGAAATTAGCCATACCTTAAATGACTCAAATGTTCCTTCAGATTGAATTAGACTGGACAGAAATCCTTTGGCATCGAGATCCCCATTTCTCATCGGTACAATATACCTATAATGTAGAGAAAGAAAGGAAATGACTTGTGTAGAGATTTTCTTATTGACATGACACTGAGCTAGGGGTGGGTCAGATGTATACTTAGCATTCAAAACTTTAGCCAATTGAACTGCATCTTCTTGTCCTGAAACCAAAGTAAAATTAGGAAGAAGCTGCTTAATGACAGGGGTAATAACAATGTCAGCCTGTTCCTTCTCAAGAAAATTCTTGTTGTAAACACAGTGGGGTTCATAGTAAAGCGTAATCTCGCCCTGTGGTGAACCGACAAGATACCTGTCCAAAAAAATGAAAGTGCATAAGAACAATGGAAAGCTTTAGGCATCACAAAGTCAACCAAAGCAAGGATACTAAAATGGAAAAAAAATTATTATTTTCTGAAAATGCATGGGAGAAGCGTGAGGATTAATAACAAGGTTATTGTAACTTGATAACTTGTACCCATTCTCAGGACGTTGCCAAGGTGGACCAAGAACTGGACCGGCAGTGGCCTGAATTCTGGTTTTTGAAGCATTTCTTGCTTCAACTTCACAGCTCTGACCAGGTTCTAGATATGTGACCTGAAAAGCTTTAACATTCACTAAATTTGACAAATACATGCATCACTTGCATTTACTGCATGGATTATTTATAATATTAAATAACAAAATTAAGCTAGCATTTTTTGTTACTACAGCATAACCGGACCATAAACAAAATTCAGAAGTGATCTGTTGGAAGGGAGCAGTAGGATCATGCCAGATGGCATCTATCATATGCCACCTACAGTGAATATCATATGCCACCAACAATGAATATCATATGCCATCTACACAGTTTTTCTAAGAGGTAGCTCATGCAGAAGATATCTCAGGAGTACAACAAACTAAATGAAGAAAGACCAATACCAACTTCCAAAATACATATATACTTATATATAGCATGAATAACTAACTCTGCAACTATTGAGAGATTTAGCTGTCCGTCAGGAACCTGGCTCATAGTTCGTGACTTTGAGGTTGAATACGGGGAAGGAGGAAGAGAGAGAAGAGAGTTAGCTGAGAGAGGGAGAGAGAGAGTTTAAACTGATTTGAATTTGAATTTTTACTGGAATGAAATTTCACAATAGAGTGGCCATATTTATAGGCCAGGTTGAAGATGCATGCCAGTTTGTTACGCATGCCTGCTGGTTACAACAGCCGGGAAACCCAGTGGCTTCCTATTGATGAAAAGAAGGAACTAACTTGATGTGTTACAATCAAGCCCCACAAAGACAAGATAGAAGGACCACTTAATTTAAATGTTTCATTGAAAATTGAGGTTGATAGCCTATTCTTCTTATTGTATAGCCCAAGAATGTTGATGGTGCTGATTGAACTTCCATAAAATGAGAAACAAATTTTAAACTAATTGATTAGCACCAAGGCAGAACGTCTTTTATATTTTCTATGTAACAAATTCTTCAGTTGCACTTGAAGTTTGTCAATTCAGACAGCCCAATGGTGGATGAATTTTTAGTTTTCCTTTTCCTTATGAAAACTATCAAATATTATTGAGCATGCTCCATTATGACTTAAAATACATAGACATGTCTATGGTGCTCAGAAATAATATCAGTGAGTCTTGACACAAAGGAGCAATATGATTTTTCCCTGCACACCTTGTGACCAAAGAGGTCCGAATCACTATTTATAGTATAGTATTCAACAGGTAGCATTAGGTAAAACTGAGGAAGAGAACATAACAGAATTAAATACGACAGCATAGGAAAATGAAGATAAATTGGTGTTAGGACTGGTATAAACAATTTTGTTCTGTTGAAGATTTGGTAGTTCATAAACTGTACAAAATACAACATTCGATTATTCAAATATCACTTACATTATTTTTTATTTGATTTTTAAATTAAAATTTTTTCAAAAAATATTAAGCTACCACCCGAATTATTATTATAAAAGAGAATCAAATTCATTACCATTAAAAAAATAACTCCGTAACAAAAGAAAAGTTACACAAAAAAAGAAACTAGAATATTGCACCCAATCCTTTCTGGGGGAATTCAACCAACTTACTTGTGAATTATTTGAAGAATGCAATGCCTAAAAAGAAGAGCGAGCTTAAAACAATGGAGCACATTTTTTTTGAAAAAAGAAAGCAAAAAGATATTAAACTTTTATATTAAGGGTAAATGGTGGTTAAGACTAAATAGGAAGTCGTAGAGGTACTTTAGCAAATTAAAATTTACCATAAACTATGACGTAGGCTCTCACTCATGGGGAGACCTTAGACTAAGCACCTTTCCTAAGTGCAATGGAAATCACTAGCCTAGACCATGAGCTTTCTTGATTGCCAATTGACCCCATCCAAGTATAACTTTGTAAAAAATTAGAACAGCTCGTCCAACAAAAATATAGGAACAGAGTTGTTTCCACCTATTTAATCTTCTATTCTGTTCTAACAATCACTATATGACACCAAACATGGAATTAAACATTTTTGTGTTATCCCTCCTCTGCCTCTTACGAGTTCAAAGAAATTATGGTGTCTCAGAAGCAAGAGATAATGATAATTGAGTTGTTATTCCCATTCATAAAATACTTTTTTCTGACATTCTAAGAGAAACTTCTGATCTGCACATCAAACAGCTTTCCCAGTCAGTTTTCCAATGTACCTCTTCATCAAACACTTTTAATATTTATTTTAAACATGCTGAATTTATTGCTAGCCAAGCCT